TGCTACCACCCCAGGTGGTTATCTTCCCTAGTTTTGAATTCTTCCCAAGTGGTAGTGGCTGAAAGGCATTAAGGATCAATGATGGGTCAGTTATAATAGTTGACCTGATATAGTAGTCCTACTCTAGTTCATACTAGTTGTCCACTTCACAGACTTATGATCTATAAACACCATCTGGTGGAACCAAATGTAGACAAAGTAAGGACCACTGCATTGGGGAAAGAGGGTAATTACCCACCCCACCCCACTACCCTTCTGGATCCCTAAAAATACCTCTTCGTTCTTCACTTCAACCATGTCTCCTCAAGAGCTACCATTTTGTTGGGATATTTTCTGACTTTTGGTTGTTTGCTCCAGTTCTCTCCCTCCTTCTTGCTTTATCTTGACCTTATCTTCAATCTTCTACCTCATCTTCACCTGCCCTTCCAGTTCTGTCTTTCCCCCTATACACTCCCTCTCTTGCCCCCCCTTGTCTTTCCATTTAGTTTATTTCCACATAAATAGGGATACACTCCCTTGCCTCCCCCAAAAATAAAGTCTTCTGTGTGGAAGAGCTAAGAATAGATGTTATCTAGAGAGCAGATGCTGCCCCATCAGCCTTTGAAGAGTAAAGAAATGTAATGCTTCAGTCCTGTGTTTACAGAATAGTTGCTTATATTGGTTGGCCTACCAAATCCTTTCCTGAAACATGTCCAATGACCATTAAACGAACTAGAATGTACTGTATTATGAATCTTATTGAGATTAAATACATTGTAGTAAAGACACAATTATGGCTTTATTACATTTTGATTTAAAATATTTGAACCGACTTGTACAAGTACATAGAGATATTTACTGAAGTGTATTTGAGATTAAAGATTGCAGCAGAACAGATTCTTTTGTCATTTTGTGGAAGCATTTTACATTTTAAAGGCAGCTGAATGTAATTATAACGTGTTACTTATGACTTGCAACAAATAGTTTTTATCTGATATCCCTCCAAATGCAAGATTGCAAATTGCTGTTTGAGTTTTTTAACATACAATAATCTGCAAACATTATTTAACTTAGGTGAAAAATTCTTTATGGTTCTATTTTGGGTCAATGACCAGGGAAACAAAGATAAATGTGTACTAATCTGGAAGTCGGTTTAAGAAACTATATATTCCTACAATTTTTTCCTTGTCGCAGGAACCATTCCATCTTCCAAACTCTAAATATGTTTGTGTTACTTATTTCAGACTGAGCCTTTATTTATGACTGAGGCAGATGGTAAGGATCCCATTGTGTTACAATCAGGAAAGTTAAAATACTTTAGCATTTCATATAAAAGCCTTAATATGTGGTCTTTCTGAGCCAGTTTCTGTTGTTTGATCGAAAGTAATTACTAAAAAAATGAATTATTTACCTAAAGAAAGATTCATTTGATTCTTCAAAACATTAATTGGACAGAAACAAATTTAACAAATTACTAAAGTTGTGTATTACTGTTAAAAATGTGTAGGTCAGTGTGGACAAAAATATACAAAGGTAAATTCAAAGTTTTTTAGGTAACACATACAGGAAGTTAGAATAACAAGTAAATTAAAGGTAAGGTATATGCTAGATATTATAGTTTTGTTTCTTTCAACTTTCTTGTAAAATCTATTTTCAAATTCTATTTTTCTAAATAGATAGTATATGGTTTTACACTAATCTCAACTCATTTGAAACACACGTCTGGTGAAAATTTACAATTTAGTACTTACATACAAAATTTAACCTAGGATGGGGCTATGAAATCAAATACGTCTCATCTTTAAAACTAACTCAGAGATGTCAGGTAAGGTGAACCATAATCAGTCTCATCCATGCTGCTTCAGGGCAGTCTATGCCGTTGCATATTGTATGCTTTTCAAACATATATTATATCTGAGACAATATACCTTTCATAAAGTATTATTTGATAAATCAGTCAAGTGACAATAGTTACTTGATGAACAAGTTCATAACTCAGTTCAGTAAAGTTGTTGACATCTAACAAGATGATGAATTCTCTGAATAATCATTGTAGATCTGCCCAATTTGGGAGAGGCTCTGCACATGTATTTAATCATTTAACATTTTCAGACAGCAGCAAGCTATAGAAAACAGAGCTAGAATTCAGAGCTTTTCTGAATGTGTAGTAAAATGCTCATGCTCTAACTTTACAAAACCCCTTTTTTATTTCTATTGTGCATTGTGTTCTATTGTGCATAAATTGTTGAAAAGTATTTATATATTTCTTTGGCAATAAAATCTATTTAGTGGCCCTGCATCTTTACATTGCACGTTAAGTGTTTGGCATTAACTGACTTCAGAAACAGTTTTATCAGAAAAGACAGAAAATTGATACCTTGACGTTCATATAGAACTTAACATTTCAAATATAGTTGCAAACATCACAGTTCGTGAAGATGACATCAAGATGCAATGGTGAATAAAAAAGTAATAGAAAATATTAGGCTGCATAAGGAATGGAATAGTAAAACAAATATTAAAACATGGTATCACCAATATATCTATCAAGGGGTAGTCTTATGTGAAATACTGTGCTGTTATCCAGGACCCAGACTGAAAATGACAAAAGTAGTGACTTGTTTTTCTTGTCCACAAGCAAGCTCCACCAGCCTGGGAAGCTGAAATGAATGTCATGCAGAGGAGATTGTGCAGCTGTTCAAAGAATGATCATGAGCACACCCAAACCTGTCATGTTTGGTTTACCCTTAATTGGGTGTGTGTGTGCTTGTGGACTGGATTGAGGCATAGGCAAAACAGATATGTGCCCAGAGCCCAGTAAAGTAGTGGCATCAGAATCTACATTTTTAAATGTAAATTTAATCTCTAAGTGATTATAGCAGTGATATCTGGCTTGGTCTTCAGAGAATATCTACCTACAATCTGTACAGTAAGGAAGGTACCCCTATAACAAGGTGGGCTCAACAGCATTTTCAAAACAGATTAATGCCCTGCTGCTCTGGGGACTTAAGTTCCTAAGGGAAAGGTAAGCATGATTTCTCCACTGATCTCAAATGTTCCCCAGGCTCCTAATTGTTTGGCTGGTTTGATTCCATTGGATCAAGGTGATAACATAGCAGCAGTGACTCAAGCACAACTCATTGCACTAAAATATTGTGCATATCATCATCATAAAAAAATCCCTTCTCTTTTTGAATAGGGGCTGTCTTTGATCAATAGCCTTAGATAATAGGTAATAGTTTCAACATTAAATTAGCATTAGGCATCTCAGGTAACACCCTGTAGAGAAAATGAAAGTCTACATCTTTCAGAGTTAGTATTTCTGGGTTTCTGTGAGTTCAGGTGGACATTGCTCTGTGCATTACACTTAAATCAAGTTTTCAAGTTTTCTTTACAACCATAATGCTTAGAGTGGTCTTTTAGGAAAACCAAGCCTTTGCAGAACGGGATGGAAGTCTCAACAATAAAAGTGCAGACTTTGCTCCCTGGCAGATATAACACACAGTAACATGCACGTATGATGAAACAAATTGTGACTGGCCAACAGGCCAGAAATTAACATTATGGTGGGGTACTTTGGATGAGCAATTTCTTTGTGGCTGATCCACCATTTTTATCCAAGGATAAATTGGTTTGATGTCTGACATGCTACAGTTTCTCATATAATTCTCACATATAGCACATAACAAATTCAATGTCTGCCTGTGTCCTCACTTAGAATGATCTGGTACGATTCAAGCCCTACTATTACCCATAGAAGAGGGAAACGGGAAGGGGCAGTTGAAGGTGGATAACAGATGCACAGGCTTGGAAAGACTTCTTTATGCAAAGGGATTGAAAAGAGTGGGATTGCTTACTTTAGAGAAGGGATTGAGAATCAAAACACAAGTATTCAAACTAATGAATAGTATAGAGAAGGTTAATATGCTATCTCATGATACAAGAATTAGGGACATTCAATCCAGCTGAAAGACAACAAACTTAAAACCTTGACCAGACAGCCCTCCTGATGTTATGAGAATTTTACACTGTATTTGTGGCATGCTTTAGAACTGCATTACAATTCATCTTTTTTAAGTATGTCAACTGCATATACAATAGCTTGTACTTAAAAATAGTATTTACTAACAATTACACTGTGGAACATAAGATGCAACAGTTTTCACCTTCTTTTTAGAGACAGTCTGTATACATTCAGGAAGACAGCTGCAGTAAATGTATGGTGGTAACTGACTTTTTATGATTTCTACTGTAAATGTGGATCTAAACTACATAAACTGAAAAACTGTGACATATTCTTCTTTTGTAAAAAATAGGTTCTCACTCATTCCATGAACAGAAGCAGTTTCCCCATGGTTCTCCCTATACATTCAGCCTCTCCTCTCTCCCGTTCCTCAGGATGCATGTGTTATCCAAATAAAAACATTTGCTTTCCCCTTCATTTGCTCTATGCACAACTAGGGGCAGATTGTTGTTAATCTGTAGGTCTTTATTGTGGCAGGCCAGTCTCTTTTTCTAGCCAGGAATGGGTCAAAAAAGTGTTATGTTCATTCATTTCACCATTGATAATACACACATCTTTTGGTCCAATTAGACTGTCAACATAGATACAATGGCAGTGGATTTACTTAATATACACCTGTAAGGAGTTATAACTAAACTGGAGTCTGGGATTTTTAACATAGCTATCATCTGTGCAGTATAAGAATGATGGAACAAGAGACAGGTTAGTGTCAATTACACTCTAGCTGTCAGAAATGTAGAATGTTGAACTCTGGTGAGTATGAATCCTAATCAGATAATATTGAGGATTTTCAGCTGTTATTCCAACATAGACTCTAGCTGTATGTGTCAGTTTCCCACAGAATTTAATTTAGCCCTAATGATGAAGAAATCCCTACATTCACACATCGCTGTCAAGTCAAACTTTGGACACTTTAAATGAATTAGACTGAGGCTTCAGGGGAGAAGTGGCAGAATGACATGCTGAAGAGATTTCTCTTTCGTTTCCTTTCACTCAGGTTACATTGAGGAAGCCTGCATAATTCCATGTCCCTCGGATTGCAAGCTCAGTGAATGGTCCAACTGGTCTCGATGTAGTAAATCCTGTGGGAGCGGGGTAAAAGTTAGGTCTAAGTGGCTCCGTGAGAAACCGTACAACGGCGGTCGGCCTTGTCCCAAGCTGGATCATGTCAATCAGGTAATTTTTGCTCACTTCTACGTTATTCGCTTATTTAGCTTTTCTCTATTCCACAGGTGTAGTGCATTAATCAAATCAATCAAGGATCCTTCCTTTCTGAGCAACTAAGTAATATGCACTGAAAGTCATAGAGAACAAAAAGTCCTCAGTTGCAAAATGAAGGCTTTTATTCTGGGGCATTTAAAAGAACTGTATACAGTATGTTGCATTGCAATGGCAAACTGTATAGGGCCCCATACTACCAGATTTCGTGTTCTGTGAACTACAGGTATGAACGATAAGAAAACAAAAATACCTAGAAGCCCTCAAAATAGTTATGTTCTCCTTAGTCCTTTCTAGCATCCATTGGTCAAAACAGTTTTTAGCCTTTTGGAAGAATTTATTTTAAATGATATCTGTTGAGATTGAAGCTTGTACTTATGACTAAATGGATGTAGAGTCCTTCCTTGTTTGCATCAGGCAAACAATGTTAGCCATGTTAGTTTGAAGTCAGGCAGAAGGCAGGTTAGGGTGGAACCAGAACATTTATACACGAGACGTTTTCACCATTTAAAGCGCATTAAAGTCCTCAATTAATAAATGTGCCAGACCTGGAGTGCTTTTAAAGTGACAGAAGTTACCTTAATTAAAGCTGGTTGGATGTGTTTTAAATGTAAGGTGAAATGTAGTAGTGCGTGTCAGAACACCTAATTCTACTTAATTGCATGTGTATTTAACCAGGGCTTTTTAAGTGGTAATTACTAATTGCTACCACCAGGTGTAGCTAGCTTGCTCTACAGCAGGGGTGGGCAAAATGTGGCCCAGGAGCCAGATATGGCCCACCAGGCCATTCTATCTGGCCTGTGGTGCCCCTAAAAAATTTAGAAAATTAACATTTATCTGCCCTGGGCTGCCTGTCATGTGGCCCTCGATGGCTTGCCGAAATTCAGTAAGCGGCCCTGTCCCCAAAATAATTGCCCATCCCTGCTCTACAGCCAGCAGCCACCGGTATCAGCTTATTTCAAATCATTCTGCTCTGTGTAACTGAAAAAATAGAAAACAAAAATAAAAATAATCATCTTTATCTAGTTAGATTTTATTTATTTATTTATTTATTCAAAACATACCATTAGGTGGGGAAAAGAGAGTGCAAAAGGGGGAACCTGAGAACTAATCTCTCCACCCCAAGTGCATTACAGTCAGGGCTGCAAGCTCTGCTCTGTGGAGCCTGCAAGGGTAACCGTCCATTGGGGGGAAAGCAACCCCCCCATGAGACCCCTTTAAGTCCCAGCTAAAACCCTAAGTGCTGCTAGAATTCACCCCCCTCCCCCAGTGCTGCAGGTGGAGCTGACACTCTGGAGTGAAGCCAAGGCAGAAGCCCCAGCCTGAGTTGCAGCCCGAGCTCTGGTGCTGGGAGCAGCAGTGGTGGTGGCATAGAGCGCATTTCTGTGGGGGGGCAGTTTCCCATCCTACAATCCACATGCTGCTTGGGAGTCTGGGGGGGGGGACTTTGGGGAGGTTTCATGGGGGGTTTCCCTCCTCACTGTGAAGGGGAACACAGGTGTTTAACCCACTTTCCCAAACTGTGCACAAGACGGGGAGGGCGGCCTCTGGTGGGGGTGGGTATTGCCCAGTGGCCCTCATTGTACATAGGAACCCAGTGTTGTCTGATGGACAGGGGTTTGGGGGGCTTCAGGGGTCTTGGGGGATTCCCCATTTTGGGGAGTGTGCAGTGGCCATGCAGTGATAGTGGGGCATGGGTGCATTCACTCCTGCCCCCCCCCCCGAGTGCAGGGGAGTCTGTGGGTGAGCCTGCCAGTAATGTAGTGGGCTGGCTGCAGGGGGTCTCAGGTGGCTGGCCCCTTTTTGGGTGTGATCATCAGGGGTGGGGTATGGGGTGGGAAAGGGGCTTGCCCACTCATGCATTAAGAGGTGTGCCAGTTGGTCCTCACTGTGTGAACTCCCCCATCATTGTTCTGGCTCTGGGAAACAGATTGGAGACTAGAGAAGCCCTCTTATATCCATGGGTACAGAAGTCCTTAGGGGTTCCTGGACCATAGGGGTGGGGAGGGCTCTTGCCCTCAAATCAGGACCCCTTCCTGTGTTCTCCCTCCCCCAGCACAGTTCCTGAGGTGCTCTCTGGAATGGCACAGTGGGGAGCATGCCATCTGTACCCCTTGCCTCCATTGCTCACTCACTCCCTCTTTCCTTTCCTTCCTCCATGGAGGGTGTTGTAAAAATTATTTTTAAAAAAGATTGACCAAGTTGATTTTTATTCTGTTCCTTTACTTTTTCTTTATAACAAAGGCGATAGCACACTTTGCTCGCTGGCTCACTTGCTCACAACAGTGAAATTAGATTATGTAGCATCTGGCACCCCCTGCCACCTCCTCCACAGAACTACAGCAAGGCATGAAACTTGAATGAAGCCATGGCATGCATATTCATTTTTAAAGCACTTAACCTAAAGCACTTTAAACAAAGCACTAAACTTAAAGTGCCTTTGTATATGCCTGCCCTGCATGTGTATAGATGCCCTGGACTAACTGGTTCAGAAGTACACTGTGTCATACAAAACCTTATGCGTCTTTGAAGCAGTTAGTTTCTAAGGTCCACCCTGCTTGCCTTCTGCCTAAGCAGTCAAAGTAATGTGGGACAAGCTCTCATGGCATTTTACGTTATAGGGTGTCTAAAGAGTATAGTTACACAGATGGGACACAACTCTCAAAAAAAGGTTTATAAATATAAGTACAGGGATGGCAGGCATGCCAAGCCTGCTACTTGCATAGTTCATTAAGACAGATTTAGAACAAAAACTGCCTTTTCAATGCACTTGTCTTTCTCTAGGTTTGATTTATATTCACCTTACAATTGGATTTAATTTTACATTCAGAATAGCATCTTGAACAGCCTTATATTCATTGCACTAAATATTCACAGGTGAAAAAAATCTGTTTGTTCACAATTAAATAAAATGCACATGCTTAATATCATCCCGTTGACATATTGCCAGCCCAGAATGAAATGGTTTGTTGATTTAATTTTCTACTTAAGAGGATGTAATTAGTTCTAGTTTAGTTCAAAATCAGTGTTAAACTACAGCTAATAAACTAAGTTTATAATCCGCTTTAATGCAACATGCAAAGTTAGAATGAAGACTGTTGGATTTGGGTAACACGTTGAAACTGTTTTAAATTAAAGAAAATGCATTTCAATAGGATCAAATTATAGTTTATGCAAAAATTTCTTTCTTCTTTTTTAATATTCATGTAGCACAGTGTTTTATAGCAGTTTCTTATTCTTCAGCATATCAAGGTGAAGCTGTTATATTTGTATCCTGAAACTCAGTTTTGTTCCTCTTATGTAGCACTACTGCCCTCTACTGATACTTGAACTGAGATCCAATTTGCTGCAGAGATGTATTCAAAATTGACAGTAAAAAAAAGAATTATATATATGTATATATAAAATCAATAAAAATGAAACACTAACATTGCATAGGTAGGAGGCTGTAAAGGTGTGCCCATAAACCTGCCGTGGGGGAATGACCAAACACTCTAAAAAGATTTTTTTTAATTAATCTACACCTGATACACAGCTTAGAAAAAAATAGTCTTGTGGAGAATATGTGTGTACTTTAATATCAAACTTCAGAATAAGCATTGCAATTTATAATATAATAATATAAAATGAAGTGGTTAGGCTGGGACTTTGGTACCCAAAGGTATACTAGAAATAGGTTGAGTGTAGTTGCCTCAAAAATCTGTAATACTGCTAAGGATGAATTGGAAATAATTTGTTTTTGGTGTGTCAGGCAATACACCTAGAACCAACATAGCAGGCCTAGATATTCAAGTCGTGGACTAACCCCAACAGGTACTCTCAAGTACCTAGGCCACATGGGTTGCATCAAAATTTGCTCTCCTCTCACAGATATCTACGCCAGAACTGACTACAATTTGACCATTACTCTAGAGTTATTTTTTACTCATAAGTTCTATTTTCTCTTTTAAATAATTTTCAAATGTGTATTTCTTATCATTATTCAATTATACATACCCAGGACATTTTCATGAAGAAAAGTGTAACATTTAGATGGGTAAATATCTTGAATATCTTTAGCTATTCAAGATATATCTTTAATTGTTGAAATTAACTTTGAACATTTGTCTTCTTTTCTCTAAACATCTATAATAAGAAAATAAAAATATCTTCTCTGCTCTGGTAAAGATTTCAGGTGTTAATACTAGGGTTCAATATTGCATTTAATTAAATATGTTAGTGAGTTGCTACTGAAAAGACTTATCCCCAGTTTCTAAAGGAAAATAGTGTCTCCGTCTTTGGCTGCAGGCATTCTTTGCCTTTCCACCTAGTACATAGGCTTGGAGTCCATGACTGTGTCTAACTTTAATTGCTTGCAATCAGTGACAATCACACAAGTGTCAATTATATCAGGAGAACTCCACTAAACAAGTGTAGCTAGGGCATTGGCCATGTCTTGGCTGTCTGACAAGGTATCCAGTTTTTCTATGATTGGAGAAATTGGGCCATTTTTGGATAGGAGATGAGGTTTTAGATATTTTAAACATACTTGTTCTGACACCAGCTAAGACGTCTCCTATATTGGTTTCCCCCAGGTCTCTTAATAAACTGGGCTGCACTTGGCTGATGTCCAGAGTGATGTGAGTTAACCGGAGAGTAGATTTAAACAGTGTACACAAAATTAGGACAGGCTGTAAAGGATTTTAACAGCCCTGGGGACTTTTGTCTGTTTCCCCTGACTTGTACCTATCCCACACTACACCGACAGAATGACTGCACTTTAAATATAATGTAATCTCTTTTCCAAAAACATTCAAAATTCTTTCTAATCCTAGAGGAACTGAATTTCCCACGTTGTAAAGAATTTATGTCGATAATAGTTTAATTTTGTGCTAGGGACTGAGGAAGAAAGAAACAAGCATGCACTACTAGTTTTCCGTCAAAGTGATGTGTAAGAATTTTTTCTTTCTTTTAAATCCTGAGTTCTTGCAAATTCTATTAATAAAGATGAAGGATAAAATGTTGCATCTTCCATGATGTAAGTATTTAGGTCTTCTGTTTGATAGAGGCCATATACTATTGTTTTTAATAGATGAAGCATGAAAATGTTTGCTGTTCAGATATTTGTGTTTCTCACTAACTATTGCTTCTCTGTTTCTCAATAACTCCTGACACCTTGGGCTGTCCCGTGGGATTCATGGAAAACACTGATTCCAGGCTCAGGTAAGAATTCCTAAAATTGATTTATAGCCTTAAAGCATCCTTCTTGATCAAACTGTCCCAGGTGCATTATTTTCCCTTTTCTGTTGCATTTGTTTACATTTTATATATCAAGAAAACAATTTATTCTTAGGAAAATATAATAACACACAATGTATTTCAGTAGAACTTTAAAGCTTTATAATTAAAAAATAAGTTTAAGGGGCCAGCTCTGGCTTTTATTTAAATTGGTGTGATCTTAGGAGGTGATGCTGTTGAAGTCAACCTTGTCTAAACACCAACAAATAATAGCACCGAGTAGGGAGGTATGTGGAGTGTAGAATGAAAGACTGAACAACATCATGTCAAAGGAGGTAATAGAAAGCAGGTTTCCATGCTGGTGAAGGTAAAGTTATGTGTAGGCTTTAATGTAAGTTAGCAATGACAATGGTAAGGTAAGGTAAAGTCCATGAGCATAGAATGACTTAATTTTCCCTTGCTGTTGAACGCTTGTGTTAGATATTTTGTGTGCTGTAACCTTAAGCATTTCAACTATTTTCATGTATAGATTTTGTGTATGGATTAACTGCATGTGATCTTTACAAGGAATGAAAACCACATTTTGCTCACACTATGTGTGGATTTCAGGTATATGAGGTTGTCCCATGCCACAGTGACTGTAGCCAGTACATATGGGTTACTGAACCCTGGAGTGTCTGCAAAGTGACAAATGTGGACTTGAAGGAGAACTGTGGAGAAGGTGTTCAAACCAGAAAAGTCAGGTAATACAAAATTATTCTCCATATTAAAGAACCGACACAACTAGAAATCATGGGCTCCTATCCACATGCAGAGAGGCTGATCCTATGCACTGTAATTACAATGCATTGGAGCAGACTCGATTAATTGAGTGCTGAAGCATGATAATTACTGCACTCCAGCAGACTCATGTCACGTGTATCAGCATCTGCACACTGAAAAATGGTGGTAGAGGCAAATGATGAGCTTTAGTTAAAGTGCCCCACTGTCATTTTTCAGCTTGGGGACACTGATACACGTGACACTCCATGTGCCTTAATTAAAGCAGCTCTTGAAGCCTATCTAATTAAAGCACCCCTCCCCCTCCATCTCCCAGAGAACATCTGTAAATACCCCATGATTTTATTAAAGAAGTAAAATGCCACGAGAGACGAAGACACTTAAATACAAATCTAATACAAATTAAGTACAAATAAAAATCTACCTACAGGATATTGGACCAATATTCAGCTAAGAATCCAGCCTCTTGTTCTTTAATATATATAGAGAGAGAGATATCTCTATCTATCTATATCTGTATCTCTCTCTCTCTATATATAGATATCTGTATATATATCCAAATAATACTGTAGTACTCATTTTATTAGTAGTCTATATTATTTTCAGGACAGAAAGTGCAGGAGATAATGTTGTCCACACAAGGCGTACAGTGTGAATTAAAAACAAGCAGGAATCTAATCAAGGGATAAGGTACAACGCGGCATTTATTAGAACATAAAACATACAACATGAAAAGAATAAAAACCAGTAAGGTTATCTGCTTCACTCATTCCCATACATACTCATCCATTCTTTCATTCATTCATACAAAAGAAATACAGTAAGCACACACTCTCTCTCTCTCTCTCTCTCTCTCTCTCTCTCTCTCTCTCTCTCTCTCCTGCAAAAGTTAAGGTGTTACCAAGTTCTAAAGATGCTCCGGTCAGTCTGGTGGCCAACTGGACTGACCACGAGGAATGGAGTCAGGTCTTGTTGGACTTTCCCAAAACTCCTTCTTGCAGGTAGACAGACCCAAAGCCTTTTCTCTGTGTTCATTCTTTATAGTGATAGCTGTGATCCATACAAGCCTATGGATTCTGCTGAGTCAGATGTGAAGGTCATCCTCCTTGTCCTGTTGGCAGGCTGGGATTGGTAGGACATGATCTTCTGGCTTTGCGGTCTGCAATCTTCAGAGGGATTGTTGCTTGTAGTCTTCAGCCATCAGGGTGAAGGCATGATTTAGTACATAGTAATCCTTAACAGCTGACTTGATGTCACTGCAACCTTTAACTGTTAAACCACAGAAGGCTATTTTCACCTGCTGCAAGAGGACTGTCTTCCTTCATGTTGTCACATACATACATCATTCACTCTTTCATTACCTCTTTTCAAACACGCCAGTATTACCACAGACCTTACATAAGCATTTTTCTTATACCAAATTTAAGTTTTAAAATCATGAGATTTTAAAGTCAATGGGTCAATATATTTATGCTAAGCAATAGGAAGTTTAAAATAGATGATTAATTCCAGAAAAAGATTATGGAAAATAAATCATAACAAGATTCACTTTATCTTAATGGCTAAATAATTCATTATTAAAAAATAGCAATTACAGCAATTATAGCTACTGCAATACAACACTGATATCAAATAGAAAATGCAGAACTAAGGTACATGGAATATCCCAAACTGGAATTTGACCAGGTCATTGTAGCTAATAGCTATTGAACAATACTGAATGAACTTGGCTACAGACTGGGCCTCAGATTTACACCTCAGGCCAAAAAAAGGTCATTGCATTTTGCAGATTCTTATATGTTGTCATTAAATACTGAACTCTGGAGTATCATTAAATACACTAATCTTCTTTATTAACTGTATATTTCAGCAATAAAGCCTGTGATGGCAGTATAAAAATGATCAGAGCCAGTGTTCTTGTTGGAATGATATATGTGGTACAAGGCCTTAACCCTAATTTAAATTTGCAATGTCTTGGAGCAGTTTAGTAGAGGAATAAGGAGGGGATTAGGGGGCAGAGGTCGGGGGAAGTGAATTCCTTGGTTGCATTAATTGGCTCTGTGCCATTAAAGTTAATAAAGAGAGACTGTGCCCCTTCCTATGGTTGCTAAGTTTCTAAACATTTTTTCGCTTGTGGGAGAACTGACATTAGACTTGTAGGAAGGACTCCAGACAGAGGCTGTTGTGTACCCATCCTGCCTGCTCCCTTCATATTGTCTAACATGCACTAAATTGGTATTCTGTGAACCCAGGTAATCACTTGCCATTAAAACCAGCAGTGAAACAGCATCCTAAAAAGCAAAATGAAAGATACCGAGTTTGAGATGTGTGTGCTGGGGAGATTACTAGAGAGGGGGCAAAAATCTATTTGAAAAGCTGATTGCCTCAACCGTGATTTTTGTGTGATTAATTAATCTGATACTTCTAGTGTGTCCACAGATCTATATGGCTATATTTCTGTTTTTGTTTAAGTGTTTAGTGTGAATTCTGTTAATCTAAAAGCAAACATGAAAATACCTAAAACTTCCTATAATTGCTCAAAGCTTGTCTTTGAGACAAATTGAAAAAATGAACTGTCAGGAGAGTTGATCTGAAATTCTGGTACAGCATAGCAATTCCATATTGTTCTCAGACTGGGTAAGAAAAGCTGCCCCTTTTATTTCAGTTTAGTTTTTTAAAAATTGGATACATTGTTAGGAATCTTATTTTTGTATTTTTTTCCCGTATACATGAAATTGTCAAAGAGTAAGTTTAATATGATTGTCCATAAATTTCCAGACATACACCATTACCAATCACACTACAATGCTATTATTAGCCTATTTAAAAAACCTGTTTAACCTATTTAAAAGACAGCTCTCATAGTAAAAAATACAGCAAAGAGTGCAGTGTTGAATATATATATATATATTTTTTATGGTTTTACAGAGTGCCCTCCAGGGGGTCTTTGCTCAGGACTGCTGAGGCCTTGTCTGGTGTCTGAGAGAGTCCCTGAAACCAGCCTAGGCATGGCTTCTAGACCAAGGGAGGAGCCCAGGCCTCCTTCCCACTCTGAGACCCCCAACCTTTCAGTCTCTCACTTTCCCTGGTTCTTTGAGCCCCAACTCAAGGAGTGAGCATGCAGTTCCTCTCCTGAGACGGGGACATTGCTTCTTGTTGGGCAGATCCAGTACAACCCACAGTTCCTAAGGAGCAAAGCAAACAGTTTCTTTTAGTCAAGGCCTTTATTGGAGCAAAGGCCAGCCAGCCAGAAGCTCTCTTCCCCTCCAAAGGAGTTAAGCAGTCTCTCTGTCCCCAAACCAAACAGTACAGCCCAGAGCATGCCCAAAGATAATCAGCTATTCCTTTTCCAGCTTCTTAAAGCTTCTCCATGTCCCCAGACTTTTCTGGCCAAGAGCTGTCAGGTTTGTCACAAATATAAAATTTTGCATAATTACTCTCCTGTAACAACTATATTGATCTGGCATGATCTGCCAGGGGGTTGTTCTACACAAACACGCACCCAAAAGGAATGAAGACTGTTTGACCTACTGCTTACAGACAAATAGGTTTTGACATTACCACCAAAGTTAGAGAAGAAAATATATTATTGATGCCAAAGAAGTAGATTTCCTGCCCTTTGGGACTATCAGAGAAAAGTCTCCTTTCTTTTCATCATCCATATACTATCATTAAAGATCTAATTCCATACAGTAGATTTCTGCAGATATAGTATGTGTATGTTCATTTAAGGGAATCTGTTTAAAATGCCTTCAGTCTGACAATAGGTGTATGGGAAATGGCTATGTAACAGAATGGCAGAGTATCAAAAATATTGCAGTCAAAGTGATGGGTTGAATGGCTAGTATAGGCTTCTCCTTTTCAGTGTTCAGAAGTAAATGCAAACACCTTTCATTTGAGCAACATTACCTATGTCCTTTTTCAGCAGAAGGGATAAGAAAGGCAAAACTGTTTTGAGTGGAACTCCTTTGTTTTCCTTTGTGGAAATATAACATCTGACACAATTGCACTCTTGCCTGGATTGGTTCCTCACTAATACTTAAAGGTGATATGAACAATCATTGGCAATCCCTCACGTTGAAGGATGATTGGCTTCCATGATTGCTTTATCTGTGGATCTGAAGATGGCTGAGGAGGCCAATTTGGGATTGACAGACTTTGTTGCAACTCAGAAGACTTTAGTCTTCTGAATGATAAGCAGAAGTCTCCTCTTGTGTGCCTCAGTAAAGACATTGATGAGCACACACTATAGCATCATCAGCGTACTGGAAGCTCAATGATTGTGGTTGGGGTTGTCTTGGTTTTGGCTCAGAGTCAGCTGAGGTTAAACATTTTACCATCCATTTGGTAGTTTAGCTCCACTCCACCTGGAAGCTTGTTGGTGGTCAGATGTCACATCACAGTAAGGAATATTGAGGAGAGTGTTGGAGCAGTGAGGCAGCCTTGCTTAACTCCCTTCTTAACCTGAAAGTGATCTGTGATATACTTAAAGATGATATGAACAATAAAAGGAATAGGTTAGGAGATGAAAAAAGCTATGTGAGTGAAAAATAAGGAATACAAATAAAAATAAACAACAATTGCTTAGTCATCTCAAAACTACTTAAAAACATTAATAAAATAATCCACACTGGACCACTATGAGGTAAGCAAGATGGGTTACCCAATACACTGTTTATACTAAGGCAAAGAACTTCCTCAGTTTCATTAAGTAAGTCTATGACAGCACGGGGTTAGAACCAATAAGACCTCTGAGTTTCAAACAGTATCCTGGACTGCTGGACTTGATGTACTACATAAGAGCTGGCAATATTTCTGCTTTCTTAGACTCTCCTGCATATTCTGTAGGTTATTTATTTAATTAGGTTACATCAAGAATGATGAAGAATCTGTTGACTGTTCATTCCCTGTGGATAAACTATTTAAATGTTTCTCATTAATGTAGTTTAATGAATGCAGTTTTAGGAAGTCCACGACAAATAGAATCCTTTGTTCCAGGTGCATGCTAAATACAGTGGATGGCCCTTCTGACACTGTGGAGGATTACCTGTGTGACCTTGAAGAGATGCCTCTCGGTGCTAGAAAGTGCACATTGCCATGTCCTGAAGACTGTGTTATGTCTGAATGGGGCCAGTGGTCTAGGTGTTCCTTGGTAAGAAATATGTTAACAATCTGATGGCTACAGTTTTAAGACTTTAAAAAAAAGAAAAAATGCCTGAATAAGGAAAAGCCTGAAGTTACAGTGTGAAGATGTTGTACATAACAGTAAATACACATACACAATTTTGTAAGTTTCCATTATCAGCAGGATTGTCAATGGGAAATTGTCAACAGTTCCTTCTAAAAGGTGAGGTGCTTGCATTTCTCCATCTAAAGCAATTGTTCAAGAGATGACTTATTAATGATGACAGTGTCCTAGTGACAGGAGAGGATATTTCTGGGTGAGTCATTTTTCATAATATCTAGAGACAGCACATTTCTTAGACCTGCTCAATCTTGATTTTGGACTTCCCATAATAACAAAGCAGGATTCAAATCCTAATCCACCTCTAAATCCTTCCCATAGAGAGTGACAAAATTATGCACCCCATCTTAGAGTGTAATCTATATCCACCCAGAGATAAGATTTAGCTCCTTTTCTCTCAATGTGAGAGAAAAGGCTGACTGTCTAGTGAGTCCCCAGTGACCAATACTATTCTGCCCTGAATAGATACCATAGCTCCTATTCAGACAGTAGGCAGACTTCATCTGTCCTAATCCACTTGGAGAAGTACAGGTATCTCTATTATAATTATATGGCTATATCCAATAGGGATCCCAGGTCCAGCTCACTCTGAGGAAAACACTGAAATGATTTTAGCATAAGACATCTACATGGAGCTCACCCATGCCAAAGCTTAGTGATCAGTGCACTTGCCTAAGGAGCATGACATCCAGATTCTAGGTCCTTCTGAGCCAGAGCCTGTTTGAACCCACATCTCCCATCCCCCAAAGTGTCCAAACCATCTAGCCATGGGGTAGGCAGGGCCAAGGGCACATTGAACTGCTCCTATTGAAGCTGGCTTATTGGGCAAAAAGAGGGGAAGAGGCATGGGTCCACAAAAAGAGCTTGTAGAGTAATTCTTTTGCCCAGGGAGGTGGGCACTGCTGTAGGAGTTCTTGTGCCTAGCCCCTGCTCCCAGCGCTGTTACGACATTTTATCCATTTTATGCAAAATACAGAAAACATACTGGAAGCACAAGCTGAGGACAAAGGATCTCTTTCCTCTCCATCAGCCAATAGCTAGTCAGATTTTGTTTCCAAAAAAAATGTTGAAACCTAAGTGGAATTTAGATACTTTCTATAGCAGAGAGTGAGAGTGAAATAAGACTATGCAGTGGAGCCATTCTGAGCATATTCAGAAGCCCACACTGGAATTGAGATCAGGGTTGCCAACTCTCCATAAATGTATTGGCACTGTTAAAAACCTCCCTAAAAAGTCATGTCCATAAGAGTCCATAAAAACATTTTCCCTTCCATAAAAACACAGAGCCACTGCAGCTTTAAGCTCCATGACAAGAAAAACCTGGACCAGCACTGAGCACTGAAAGAAAGATAGAGCACAGCAATGTGACCTTCTGTTCAAGCAGGAGCACAGCACTCTGCATGTACCAAGTTTGCACTCACTGGAGCCTGCTAGACACCTGCACCCCCAGCAATGTGGTGCTGCTGGATTGCTGTGCCCATTTCCTGCCTTGCATCCAAGTTATGGGTGGGGGAGGGGAGTACGGCCAAGATGGAGCTGCAGCCTGGGAGGGGAAGAGGCAGTGGCTGGGAGTTTTTCCAGGACAGGGGGAACAGAACTGACAGGGGTCAGGCTGGCAGGAGAAGTGGGAGGGGGCAGAATCTGCAAGGCATGGTCAGTAGTGTAGGGGAGCCTTTTGTTGTGGGCAGCAATGTGTAAAACCACTTCTGCAATCACAAGGAGCTGCCAACCCAAGATTTTCTTTAAATAACAGTAAAATCACATCAGTAAAAACATTTTTCTGTCAGTAAGAGACGTGCAAATTGTCATTAAAAAAATATTTTTTGATCTAGATGTCCAAATGGTATGGTGTCTCTTGCACAGGTAGGGTTAGGAATACAATTAATATTTTCAAACTCTGTCAGATCCTCTTAAGAGGTGAATTTGGACTTGGATGTGGCCATAAGCATATACTGCCAATACTGATAACTGGTAAGGAGCAAAATGCTATAGGCAAAAAACTGAGTTGAAAAAGTTAGCTCAGCTCATCATCCCCATATATCCTGTCTATGTACAATTCAAGTGAGAATACCAGGCAACATAGAATAAAAGCAAGCTTCCCAATTTGGGGACTCAGAGTCAGTGCGCTACAGATTCTGGAGAGACAGCTCACAATGTCTGTCATTTTAAAAGCACTGTCAGTGAAATATGAACTATACAGGGAAATACTAAGCTATTAACAACATTATTATTCATAAATAGGTAATAAAACCAATTTGAAATAACAAACTATGTATTTCCCTAAAATGAACTCTTTTCTGATTACTAAGCAAGGGATAATGTTATTGTTTATCATTTGCATTCTGTCAAAAGATTACAGATGGTTTTACGTAAAGGGACATTGAAAGGATTAAAATAAGTTGAGGGGTTTTTTTCTGTTTTCCTTTTCAAGCCCTGCAATAGAAGTAGTGTGCGTGAAAGGTCAGCAGAACCCTTAAGACTACCTGATGATGGAAAGGGTTGTCCTGCTGCTACTGAGACAGAACTCTGCAGCCTGAACAAGAACTGCTACCACTATGATTATAATGTGACAGGTATTATGCTTGTTATGATCTAATAACAGATTGTAAAAAAATGTAAAATCTCTACCTATTTGCAGTTTAGCATTACAGCTATGTAAAAAAAATAATGCATTAGGCAGGTTCATTTAATTAGAATCTGGCTTTTAACCAGGGCAAATATTTTGACAGATATAAGCTAAACAGAGTCCCTCAGAGTCTTTCTAAAGTTGCTCTTATCAGGAACTAAATAAAATCTGGGCTGGCTTTGCTACAGCCCTTTCTCCCAAAAGCTGCAGATACAGCTTCTGCATATACCCCTCTCCACACATACCTGATCATTGACAATAATTCCTGTTTTACCACCCTTTTCAAGAGTGAAGGGGAGGTATCTTTTGTTACCTATGTCTTTTACTTATACAATAACACCCTGTTACCCATGAAGGTTTTCTGTGTGTAGAAAAATTAATTTGCCTTTATGGATTCCACTGTATTCAAAATACAGGTTTTTGAGCCCATTGTTCTGTTACAGGTCATGTGTTATGCAGTGAGACCCAATTCAAAATGTCTTATTCAGAGAAAATGTTCTTGGGAGAATGTGTAATTTGGAAATATCACTTCCCTCCTCTTAGAAAACCTGTTTTTCTAGCCATTCTCCCTCTCTCTGTCCCCTCCCTCCTCTTTTCCTTGATGAATACAATAACTGACTTTTCAGAAAGACTCTGACTCCATAGAATAAATGTCACTTTTTTCCAGTCTCATTAGTGGGCTCTGTGATCCTTTGTTTCTATAACAAAAATGTTATTAGGGGTATTTTAGGTCATTTGAATTAAAAATTAAATTCAGATCATAGGAAAGTAGGGCTGGAGGGACGTCCTAAGGTCTTCTAGTCCAGCTCCCTGCTCAAGGCAGGATCATCCCTGACTAAACAATCCCAGCCAAGTGTATAACCAGCTTTTGAAAGTTTCCAAGTGTGAAGATTACACAACTTCTGTAGGTAGTCTGTTCCTATGCGTGGCTACTCTCATAGCAGAAAGATCCTTGTAATCTTCAGCCTAAATTTCCCCTGCTAAAGCTTGAGCTCCTAGGAGCTTGTTGCTCCTAGTTCTTTCCCCTATAGCCACAGTGGAAAGCCCATCTACATCCTCTCTATAATCATCCTTCAGGTATTTGAATACTGTTATCAAATCCCCATTCCATCTTCTCGACTCCAGGTTATATAACCCTATTTCTTTCAGCCTTTTGTCATCTAAGTGTAATCAAATTATTATCAAAATGTTTCCTCATCTAAAATCATTTAAGTATTATTGAAAAGCTACATCATTGGCATGCTATCTTGATGGAGTCCTATATTTCCAGACTGGAGTACTTGTCAGCTCAGTGAGAAGGCTGTCTGTGGCAATGGTATCAAAACAAGAATGCTAGATTGTGTTCGCAGTGATGGCAGATCAGTTGATCTGAAGTACTGTGAGGAGGTGAGTAGATATTATTTTTCACTTTATGAATAAATTTTTCCCTAATAGCTTCAATTCATGCTGTACCAACTGACCTGTACTCCATGCAACCCATCTTTGACAGCTCATTCTCAACACTATTCATGGACTGTTAAGTACCTCTTGAAGTGAGTCTTTGTCATTATTAGTGATTTCTTCATATAATTTCCCTGGTTACTTAAGAGTGCAACCACAAAGGTATGCTAATTATTATATCCTGAAGGAAATGATTTGGAAACAATAAGCAATCAAGGTGAATAAAAGGTAATAAATCTTAATCAGAATACTAATCATCATTCTAATTTGGTGTGATTTCTGTGTAGTGCCTTGGCCAGGTGCCAGAAGCATTCATTTATCCAGTGTGTTATGAAACATTTGGTTTACGCCATTCTGCAGCTAGGCTGTGTGCTTGCTTCTTGTACCCAGCTGTGTAAGAGAGAGAAATCCAAGTTGGTGAGAGAAAATTGCAACATCAAGAAGGTTAAGGTTTTTACAATAAGCATGTTTTGAAGCAGTACTCTTCAGCAGATGCATCACCTTAATTGCATGTACCTGTTACAGTTGTTCCAACAGAAAATTGTTGAACTTGCCTTGCTCCCTCCTTCACCAAACTAATCAGGATACAAAACTACTTACATGTTCTGGAGGAAAGCAAGAGATTACAATAATCTGTGGGCAGACTCATCCTGGGAACTCCACACTAGCTTTGTGTTACCAGTTTCCCTCTACCCTCTCCAGTGGAATCCCTAGCTGGCATCTGCTTCCTAAGGCTTATCTTTAAGGCAAAAAAATACCATATTTACTCAAATATAAAATGGGTTTTCTCCCCAGTCAGTATGGGAGGAAAAAGCTCCTTGTCTTGAATGAAAACCTCATTCAATACACCGTCAACCATTAAACTGCTGCCAAAAGCAGAAGATGCTTGGTCCCCCTCGGTGCTGAGTCTTTTTCAAGTCATGGAGAGCCACTGCATTTAATACATTTTGATTTACTCTTTACTCCCATGCCTGAGCTATGTATTCCCCCCCACCATTTCCAGTTATTCCTATTTTTCTACCAGCCTTGAATGTCTGGCAAACATCACCAAACAGGGCCCCAAACAGTTCACCCTGTGGCCTTCTCATCCTGTTGCATATAACTAGTGTGGCCCTGTCCTCCATGAGTTGGAGCTGGGCCAGGTTGCCCTGCACCTCTTCTGCATATTATTTTTTTTTTCTCCAGGGTTCATAACAAGAACACCCAGTTCCAGTCATGAGTGGGGGGCTACTTAGAACATGGATCCTCTGTGGGGGCAGATCTGGAGTATACACACATGCTGAGCAGTGCTGAGCTGTGGGATCACCATGGCTTGAAACACTATCAACATTATTGAGGCCTAGCCCAATGAACTCTATGATAATTCATAAGCCATTTAGTTTTGGAATAATATCATTCATAGTTTGTACTATATATATTAACTTTGTGTCTCAGGCCAGATTAGCCAAATCAGTTCCACATTCTATTGACTGAGCAGAGCTCAATTGTTCAAGTCTGCATGGCACTACCACTGGCAAGTATCCTACCTCCCAGACTCTTCAGCCTGGGACTTTAGATACTCCCAAATCTATGGCAGGCATCCAATGTGCAAGCCCCAAGCCCAGAGGGCTTTGAATAGAGATGCCCCCTAGTCTTGCTTGCTCCTAGTCAAAAGGCCATAGAAGCAAGTTGGAGAAGAACCTGAGAGCAGTCCCCCATCCCCAGAAATAGTGTAGTTATATTCTCCACTGGGAGAATATAACAGACTTTTGTAGAGGTGCCCCCATAGGGCAATGGAGAGGTCTCCATGCTCAACTACTCCAAGTCATTCAAAGCCAGGAAAAAGGGATCTCCTTTTCCAGGTATATAAAACCATCTGGGCCAAAATCATCACCAGGTTCTATCTGAAGCTTCATAATACCACTAATAAATAGGTACAAAAGTGCTGCTTGGAAATGTGTTTCTGGAGTACCTGTCCTAAAATGTGCAGCAGTTTCAAAAATGGTAAAATGTATCAATTCTGGATTAATAAAATCTGTAAGTACTCACAATAATTTGCCTATATGAAAATTACTACAGGCATGTTTATTTCAAAGTCAGTGGGCACGTCTACACGAGATATTTACTACACAGTTGACTAATTAAGTGCTCAGTAAACATCGTAGCATCTACATATATGTCCCTATTAGGGTACATGAAACTAATAAACCCTGCAGCAGGGTAGTCTTATGAAATACAAGTACCTTGCTGCAGAGTTTTTTCATGTGTACATGTAGATGCTGCCCCAGCCAGCCTCTCGGCAGCATGAGGGTGTTTCAACATGGGGGCTGCCTGCCAGCTAGCCCCACACTGAAGCACCCTTGTGCCTCAGTTAGCTCCCAGCTGCACATTGGGCCAGAGGGAACAGCTCTAGGCTGGCTGCTTCCCCCTGCTCCATGTGCTGCAGCACGGCTGGCTGGAGTTCCAGGCTGCTTCAGCATGAGAGCTGTTTGCCAGCTAACCCTGCACTGAAGCACTCTTGAGTCTCAGCCAGCCCCTCTGCAACACATGGAGCCCAGTCGGAGCACCCTGGGCTGGCAGGCTGACGCTATGTCCCCTGGCAGCCTGGGCTGCTCTGACTGGGCTCTGTGTGCTGTCAATGAAAAGACTGTAAAGCAACATGCTTCAGAATTTATTCATGTGCAATAATTACGTGTGTCAAATTTAGATACCAGGAAATCCTAGTATCTAAAAAAAAAAGCATGCAGAAAAAAACTGGGCCAGTGTACAAGGCAGCAGTGTGTGCTGCTCAAAACCAGAGCTGCCTGGCCAGAGTCACACTCTATTTGCTGGCCAGGATCCGTGTTCCCAGATCACTGCCGCTAGGGGCCCAGGAGGCCCCCAGAATCCCAGGTAAGGCTGCTGGGTCTGCCCTGGTGCTGGCCCCAGCCTTCCCTACCCCACCCAGAGCATTTTTCTGCATGCTAACCCCATGTGCAGGGATGTGCACTGGGGCAAAAAAACAGTAGCAAGAATCTGTGCAGCTGCTTTTTCCCTGTGGCAACCGCACATCCCTGCTTGTGGGAACACAACCAGTGTTATGAAATTTGTCCCTCACTTCCACATGCTCAGGGAGATCAGGGCCTGATAGTAAGGTCAGGAGGAGAAGGCTTTAGGGGGAAGAAGTTTGGGGTCAGAGGAAAAGGGGTTCACCTGATCTCCTCTCCCCCTCCCCCCCCCCCCGACATTTTCTTTGCTGTAGCATTGGGAGATGAACAAATTCAAGTCAGACCTCCAATAATTAAACTATATGCCTGGAAAATTATAACAGGTTTATAACTTTTCTATATATACAATCTAATTATTGGGAGGTGGTCATATATTCAAGGTCACCTTAATTTCATATGGTAATGTAGTTTGGACTGTGTTATAATTCAGAGGAAAATTCTGCAAGACTGGTGGAGATGAGAGGCAATGTATGTCCCTCCTGACCCTACCAACTCCTTACCAGCTCAGTTTGCAAGTGAATCCCTGAACCTGCAGTCTCTAGGCAAAGTCAAGTGACATGCAGGTAGCTGACATGCTTTCTCTTTTTGAGGGGATGGACACACGTACATTTGAAGTTCTTTCAGAAGTAGGGGCAGGGGGAGGGTGTGTTTCAGAAGGGCAGGTGATGCCTGGGAGCACAGCTTATCTGTTATGTTCTAATGGTTGCATGTGGATAAGCCAGGAGCAATACAGACGTTGCAAAACTGCTCCAACTTTAACCCTGAATAAGGAAGAGTTAAAGTTGGAGCTGTTTTCCTTCAATTGTACCCAATCCAGGCTTAACCACCTGTGCCTGTTAGAAAGTAGGGCAAGATTCCCCACTCTTCTGAATTGACACAAATGTATGTGTGTCCATATCCTAAGTTCTCTTTGCACATGGGTCATGTTAATATATTCAGGCCTATGAGTTTGACAACTTACATTTTGAAATCTCAGAGACAAATTCAGCCTTTGGATGCCTGCCAGCTAGTCACACAACCTAATAACAGCTGTTTATGTACATTAGAAGACAGAATTTGGCTCTCAGACTATTTTAACAAGACTGTACTATTATAATGAAATGAGATGTTAGATAGATGTCTGTCTACATGAATGTTTCAGTAGAATGAAGGCTTTTTTATGAAATAATTTAGCCATAGTAGTATATCCATCAACAAACTATGAGTTTAGGTAATGTCTTGGACATACAATTATTACTTTTTAAATGGAAATCTCATTGCAGGGTTCTCATGCTTATGATAAACTTTGTGGCCGAACAGAAAATTAGCCACTTCAAAAACACCAAAACAAAGGATATTTAACAATTTTTTGTATACACTTTGTGTGCTGTCTCTAATCTGATCACATGCTTTCACAGTGCATTTTGTATTCTTTTTAGCAAAACTTTTTTGATCCAACCCCCCAGCATTTTTAAGGGTAGCATATTTCCATTAGGAAGGGTAAGTGAAATACTTAATTGAAAAGAGACAGAATATATATGACTATTCAAATAAGAGAAATCAGATTTTAAAAACCTTAACCCAAATTTCATAGTAGTAAATATACCATTATTTAAAATTTTATAGAACATATAATTATCCTCAGCGCCAATTAAAATCTTATCTGGTGAGCTTCAGAGTTGTCATTTGATACCCAGATATAAGCTAAGGCAAAGTAAAATTCTGCATTTTACATACCAGTGGTTATTGTCTTAATTTTATACAATCTTGCATTAGTTGGTCAATCAGCTAAACAAGCTGCAGTCATCCTGATTACTGCCAGGATAATCAGTTTCCAGAGCTTATTATTAAGTCGTCATTATGTTAAAATAACATAATGTTATTGTTGTAGCAGTGGGTCTCTTTGTGTATGCCTGCTGCAAAATGAACGCATCACAGCACTTTTCCTTTCTTTTTCTTCAGCTATTTAAAATACAAATACCTGAAGAAAGGATAGTCCCTCTCTTGCAACAACACCTGTCAACTTACTGTTATTCATTTACCCGTGCTTATGAATCAGAAAAATTTAGGAACAACCTCTTTGTCTGTATCAGAAGACAAGCTTTGCTACTGTATTCATATAAGTTGGTCAGCTTATACAGTTAACCTAAAACAGAGGTTTTAGGTTAACTGTATACTGTATATTTGCTACTTAAGATAACAAAGATATCTTAAGTAACAAATATACATACTGACATGTACAGATAATTTCTGTGGATACCAAGTTGTACAGTGTGAAGAGACCCTTGTCTAACAGTCTGCTTCCTCCTGCCAAGTGTGGGCAGAAATATGGAATGTTGATCTTGAACGCACATAGGGCAGCTTCCATACCTGGATTATATTTATAAGACACTGTACCTGAGGGATCTGATGCTCAATCCACAAAATCGCACTTTTTGCCAATGCCACATGATCATGACCCCAGGCTACCCCTGCACCAGCTACGGCTGGAAGCCCGATCGGCTGACAGAGCTTCCATCCATGGGGACTCACCTGGGGCTCAGGGAGGAAATAATAGATGAATAGGAAAGAATTGAGTCTCAAGAGCCATTTGGCTTTCCCAAAGCTGGCTTGGCTGCATTTCAGCTCATAAATCTTGAGCAAGCCAGCCAGATCCTTGTAACATGGACCTTAGTTTTCCTACCTTTAGCTTTTGCTGCCTTTTGGGGCTTTCTTTCAGCTATAGCAGTCCTGCTGAGTGGTCCAGCTTTGTGTTTTCTGCAGTTGTAGAAATCAACTCAGTGGGCTTTTGAGTCTATACTCAGAAGAGTTGACTGGGATGAAGACTTCAAAGACTGATAGCTAGTTTCCTGATTATCCAAACACAGACTAATCAAAGGTTTCAGATGTCCCCTAAGAGCTTTGAATAACTATAACAGGGAAAAACAGCTACTCATTGCTAGATACTTAAAACAGAACAAAACAGCCTAATATGTCCCAGTAAATGATACTTCAAATGCAAATTTCAAGGCTGCCAATGTATCAGGGTCAGAAATCTACAATATACACAGTACATTATTTATAGAGTGCTTACTAATGTTGTTATTAATTTCTGGCTTTATGTTCATTAACTATTGCAGCCATTTTATAATAGGTTCAACATGTCTGGTTATCTATGTCTGGTTATCTTAGAATGATGTTCAGTTGTCTTTTTTTTTAACTGTATTGCAGTAAATTCATCTAGAGCTATTATATTCATTTTTGAAAGTTAATTCACTGCATAGTGCCTGGAAAGAGGCGAATTTTTCACAGTAGTAAATTTTAGACTTTCTTGATATTAAAGGAGCTCCGTTTCAATACACTCGCTGTTACTTTCCTGTAATGAATCCTGTCTTTTTCATCCATGATGCAGCTGTACAGGATACTGTCATACATTTTCATTTGCCAACTGCTACCTGTTGTAATTTAGGATATATATTAGCAGAGAAATGGATTTATCCTAATTTAGTTGTAGCCAATGTCTGAATTAAAATTACAAAACTGGAGTCCTCCATTCTTGGACTCTGAGGAATTCATCCCCATTTTTAAAGACATACATACATGAATTTTGAGACGTACTTCAGCACTGTGCTAAATTGGAGCCATTATATATCTATGGCTCTAATTATATGACTACACTTATAATGTATAATATATAATATATGTATATATAAAAATTGGAGCTGTAATACACACACACAGAGTAATACA